ATATGTGTGTGTGTGTGTGCGTGTATGTATGTATGTATGTATGTATGTATGTATGTATGTTTATTAGAGAGTGTGGGCACAGTTACCTCTTGCTATATACTCATACAATAACAAGTGCGTGACCGACTAGACGGGAGTTTGTATGTTGCATGCGTGCCCCAATTACCTGCCAGTCATCCTCCATGCCCTCCAGCTCTTCCTCTTGATTAGCCTCCGCACCGCTTTTGTTTTGGCCCTGTCGTACCACCTTCCATCGCACTGGCAGGCCCTTCTTCAGGTTAGCTGGTTCTATGGGCTTACATATCACCATAGTGTTCGTTCTGTGAGGTGGTCTGAGATAGGTGTAGGTGTAGTCTTCTCCCTTCGCTTCTCATTCCATGTGTGTGCGTGGTTAACACTATCTTGAGATATGTTGACAACGAATCACACCACAGATGTCTGGCACTGGCTCGTGGTATATCTGACTTGGGCAACGGTGTTCAGCTGTATATATAAATATCTATTTACTAACCTCTCGTAGTGAGATCGCTATTTGGCGTTTCAAGCTTTGGCCTGTGATAAAAAGCGACCACTGAGGAGGGCTTAGATTTGATAGTGTTTCCAGATTCCACATATGTAAATAAAATTTCTATCGAGTATTCTATGGATCTCGGTAAGTTAGACTTTTGGGGTCAGGTAGAATATAGGCCATTACCAAATATATAAAGGGCTTTAGAAGGCCTATTTTTCTAACTGCAGTATACTCTATTTTTATTCGTTAATATCTAAAACGAAAAAGCGATGACATAGTACGGGGTGGACTTGTAACCACTTGTCACCTCACTTCTGTGCAGCATATAATGCTGCATATTGCGTCTACGCACAGAACGTACGCGTCCACACTAACACTCTGATGCACAGATTGAGCTTATATATTTCATAGCATATAAATGTGGATCGAGGTATACATTCGGAGCTTAGAACTGCGTGCATATTTTGTATTGTTAAATTCTCGACATCAATCATTGAGGGTTTTAGGGTTGGTTTACATGGTCCCCCTAAAGACACATCGACTGTTCCCTTCGTCTCCCCGACACTAGTGGACGTGTGGTGCAAAATACTTGAGAAAACGAAGCCATATCTTCCACACGCTTGGTAGTTGTCCATATCTTCCACACGCTTGGTAGTCGTCCATATCTTCCACACGCTTGGTAGTTGTCGTCCCATGGCACAGCTGTAGTAAACACCTTTCGTTTAACGTACACTTTGTACCTATTGGTTCTAGGTTAGTAAAATAACAAATTGTACACAGGATGCACACTCTGAATCCAACCATGCCGATGCTGAGGTGCTTGAGCGCACTTGTGCTTATCGGTTGCTATGCCAACGGACAATCCAACAACGTGATCGCCAACGACGACTGTACCATCCACTTCGACGTGTGGGTGGGCGAGGGTTGCTATGACGACGGCGACGACTTCTACCCCAGTCTCACACTAGACATCCCAGTTGATGACTCGTGCAGAGGCACACACCCATGGGTCACCACATACGGCGATGAGATAGTCGACGATGTGCACATGCACGCTATCCTGGATATGTTGGATGAGTTCTTAGACGCTCTGTGTGAAGACCCTCTGGCTGCATCGGTGTTCATTGATTACGAGGACAATGCGTGTGTGCAGCTGCCGACGGTGTTTGGAGATATCTACATGGTAGGTAACACCTGCGCTGTGGGGAAAAGCCAGGTGGTCACAGGCACACAGCACATAACGTACGAAGAAGCCGATGAGAACGCAGACGATCAGCTACACGACAGTGTTCCTAATGGGAATGCGGAGATAGACATGAGTGGTGACAGTGTTGTAGACGGAAATGGCCCAGAGACCAGTACTGATAGTAGCAGCAGTAGTGATGCAGACAGTGCGAGTGATAATCGGCCTGTTGACGATGGAGATAACAGCCAACTGACAGAAGATCAGCTCGATGAGATACGGAACATCCTCACGGGGGGTGTCAAGGGCAGCAATGTGAACACCAACGCCCCTTACATCGTACACACCAGCGGCAACCACGGTGTGTTGGAGGGCAAGTGATGAGAAGGGAAACACCGAGATTAATTGTACAGGTATGTGCGTGTGTTGAGTCTCCAGCGATGGTATGATAACCTGGTCGTTGCAGGTGAACATCGATGTAGTTGCCATTGTAGTTGGCGTTGTGTGCATACGTATTGAGGACCAGACAGCAGCTGTGCCGGTGAGTTCTATGCGCACGTGCTGCGACCAGCAAGGGAATGGCTGCCATAAATAGTCAGTATAAGGTCCACACGAAAGTCTGTGGGGCACGAAAGTCGGTTAAGGGTGTCGGGTGCACCTGTTGTTATAGACAGGTGCGAGGGCAGACAAGACACGCACAACACAGTTGCTCACAGGACGCTACCATTACAATGTGACAGAGATGAGTGCTACTCATGCTTACACGACAGCCTACCCGATGTTTGCAATGGGCAGTATCTGGAAGGGTGACTAGCCGGGTTCAAGAGAAGCTTCTATGTCCCCATGAGCGTGTGCTGGAGTGTCTTCAAAACGTTCGCCGAGGATGTGAAACGCTGCTTGGTATATCCTATGTATGCGATGTTACATGCAAGTACATTCAAGTATGAACACTGGTATGCCTGGCTTGATGCTGCCGATGTAGCGGATAAGCTTAGTGGTTATAAGTTAACTGATACCTACTTGACAATGACCTGACGTTAGGATTAGATGCGCAGACGCTTACAAGAGTCAACGCATTGGTCACACTAAAGTGTGCCGACTTACTACTAAACAATCTGTGCAAAGTACACAGACAGAAACACTCCTTATTGTGTGTGCCACTATTCGCAATTTTATCGATCAATAAATACACACACACGTATGTATGCATATTCGTATCGTCCGCGAGATTGACGTCGGCATTCGCACATACACTCCGTAGTACCCATTTCAAATGCATTTCAAACACTGATCGACGCATGTGTATGTAGTCATATCTAGGTACACGGCCTTTAATTGATATGTTCTAGTACTATTCTACTGGCTAGGTATCCTGGAGCACCCACAGCACCTTGGTCTGTGTCACTCTCAGTGCTTTTTGTCCTGTCCTGTTCTGCCTCGCTGTATATACTTACGTGTGGTCTACTGGCAACCACACACAGCCGTGTCCCATACCAACCCCATTATCTCTCTGTGTAGATAAAACTATGCCACTAACGTGGTGTAGAAGCAACTATGCCACTAACGTGTGGGCCCAACACGACCCTCTCGTGCCCAACCATCTGCCACTTATCGGTCCTCCACAAGCGTATCGCTCTTGATGTTGTGCACATCGGCGATGCCTGCGTTGACCATGGTACAGTCCAAGTCACACAGCAGCCCTTGCAACACACGCTTAGCACCGTCCTGACCACCCACGGCTGTACCCATCATGGGAATACGCCCCACCCACACACCCGTTGCCCCGAGCGCAAGGGCCTTGAGGATCTGTAGGCAACCATGCAGAATAGGCGGATGAGTATATGACGGGAGGTAGGGTAATACACATAAACCTATACTGTGTATGTTATAACATACACACAACACATAAACCTATACTGTGTATGTTATAACATACACACAACACATAAATCTATACTGTGGAGTATTGGGCCCGCAGATTGTTACGCCCGCGACAGTTGCAAGCGAGCACTTCCGTCGATGGGGTTACCTACATTAGGTCTGCTGTGCAAGTCCACACACGGCGGAACACTATCTGCATCTGATACCACACAAGACACATTACACTACTACACCCCAAACCCTACTACAAGCCTAACCCTATACCCTAAACCCTACAATCCTAACCGGTTTTCTTTTAACTTACGTGTGCACCACACCGGAACCCGCTGTCCACAAATACTGGAATTGGGTCTTTGCCCAGGGCCTTTGCTTCGTCCCGCACGGCTGCGATGACTGCAGGCAATGCAGCGATGGTGGAGATGCAGCCATCCGCCTGTCGGCCGCCATGGTTACTCACCACCAGACCAGACACCCCTGGCAGGACAAGGCAATGGTTTTAGGGTTTTAGGGTTTAGCGATTCGAGAGAGAGAAAGTGGGTGGATGTGATGGTTTACGGTTTCGGTTGGAGTTAGTGTGTTTAAGGATAGACACCTCTGTTTGTATGCGGTTTTAGGGTTCAGGGTTTAGGGATTCGAGATAAGGCGAAGGATTGTAATGTTTTGGTTTTAGGGTTTAGCATTTCAAGGACAGACACCCCTGTCAGAATGCGGTTTTTGTGTTTAGGGTTTAGGGTTTAGTATTTCATGAGTGTATGTATATGTAGCAAAATAACAGAGGTGTGCAAACGAGGGATGTGTTTGTTTTGAATCGGTATAGTCGATCACTGACTACCGGTAGCACTCATCACCACATGTGTGGGCAATCGTCATGCACGCGTGACCTAATCTATCAAATACTGCGCACAGCACAACCCGCCGAGAGATGTATAGGGTTTAGGGTTTTAGAAAAACCCTCCACCGAACATCCCCACTTGTAGGGATATGTGCTGTTGTGTCAATTACACATCACACACATATGTAGGGATATATGCTGTAGTATTGATTACTCAGCTTTGTTGTTTATATGAGTCACCAAGTAGGTATTCTAAAAATAGCCGAGACTCGACAAATAGCTAGTGTGTTTACCTACCGCAAATGCGTCCATATGCGACGCGACTAATGCTGCGGCGTTTGAGCGTCGGAACATTGAGTGTTCGCATTCACGCACTCTGATGCATAGTTTTCCTACACAGCTCTATCCTATAAACCCTAAACCCCTAAAACACCAGGATACCACCCATACCAGAGTGGCGGCTTGAAGCGCAATAAAAGTATGCTTTACGATTCCTTGATTACGTAACCAATGCACATGTGCACGCAAACACCTGCCTACATTTACCTACACACAAACAACCACACCCAACCGCATGTTACACACCTTATAACACACACCTACGCTCTTACATACAACCACTGGGTTCTATCCCAAGACTCAACCCTAAACCTTACAACCGCTAGTCCACCACACCACTTTCAGCTGAACACACAGAGTCATACCTTTGCGCACTGCCATACGCGCGTCGTCTGGGTGTTGAATGCCCTTCAGCACCAGCGGCAGATCAAGTTCACCCTGTACAAAGTCCACCATCCAATCTACAGACAGACGGGGGAAAGCATGTACACGCGTCTATTTATGAGGAACTAGTGAGTGTACCAGGAGAGTGTTGTCTTCTTTGGGCGCGGTTTACTGACAGTGAGAGTGTTGACAACGGCACGCATTCGTACGCATGTCTGCAGCTACTTGGGTTGTACGGAGTGCGGGTTATTTCGGTATCGATTCTAGAGGGACAATATGTTATCATCACATGCACATTTCAAGAACACGCACACACACATATACATATATAAATATAAATATATATAT